ACTCTTTCCATCAAGCGTTTAAAATCATTTTAGTTCAAAAAATTGTTACCATTTTTTTTTTAAAAAGTTTGCACTTTCGAATGATGTTTGAAGCATTTCTGTAAGACTAAAACCTTATCAACTCAACTTTCCATATCTCGTTTCTCTTTCAAGAATTTTTTTCAAAATCAGTAGTTCCTGATCTTTTTTCAAAAGAAAACACCAATTAGATTCCTATTGACAAATTCAAGCAATCAAGCAAATTCACGCAAAACAACAACGGGAAGAGTGTCGAGAATTGCTCTACTTTTTGCACAGGTGTTTGATTGTTGTCGAACTTGGCTAATGATTCGTTAGATTCCAATTGACGTTTAAGGAACTGGCGCGAAAGCGGCGCGGGGCGCTTTCTAAAGCGTGGATGCGCTACCGTACCCCGCACAAAATTCCTCTTTTGCCATTTTTTTCATTTTTACCTCGATTCCTTTATGGACTCGTGAATGTTTCCCGGTTTTTTATGCTATTATAGTTTTTTTACGTCCTGCATAAGTTTTCTTCCCCCTTCTGTAAAATCTTTCCTCCTTTTGTAGCGCGTTTTAAGGTTACCTGTCTCTCCGCATTCCCTTCCTGTTATATTGTTCCGCCCATGTTTCCTGTTTAAATTTTTAAAATCGTTTCGTTTCGTTTCTCTCGGTTCCCTTCTACTCTATTGTCTTCGAATCTTTTTGTACGTGCCGCATAAACTTACCGTAAACTGTACTGTAATAGTACCCCACCCCCATAATGACGGTGCGAAGTGTTGCGTAGTCTAGCTTTGAACGAGTGTTTCTCGACACTGGTTTGTGCTACAATGGGCGCTTAGGTGTCAAAAAAATAGCCCTGAATTTCAGCTATTTTTTGATACCAAAGACGAATTTTTGAAAGTACGGGCGCTTTGAAAAAAAATGAAATACTAAAAAACTTTTGCGACTACGCGACTGTACGAGGGGGATGGGGTACTATTACAGTATTTACGGTAGCTTAACTAATTCTCTTTCAACTAAGACTCACAAAATCTACCAAATCAAATCGGTTTTTCTTTTTGGGTTTTGTGGCTAATTATTTTAGAAAAAGGATTGGTGGTACTTTGGTGATTGAGAGGGGGCACTTTTATCCTGGCTTAGTTGGATCTAATGTTTTAAGTGGTTGTATTTGATACCTTTTATCTATTATAGGGTAATCAAATATGCTTAATAGATTGGTGACTATTTTAGCAAGTTTTTGGCAATTCTAGCCTAATCTCATGTACTTTAACCACCAAATGCTACCTAAAAAGCTGCTTACACTTGAAGATCAAATAAAATATGGCGATATGAATGAAACTTGAAACGTTGTAAATGCTCTAAGAGTATTATTTGATTACCCTAGAATAGGTAGATAAAAGGTATCAAATACAACCACTTAAAACATTAGATCCAACTAAGCCATGATAAAAGTGGCCCCTTTAAACCACCAAAGTACCGAATTGGTGAGTAAAATTGGGGAAGATTAAATGGTTACTAACTCAACTGTAACTTATTAATTTCAAATAGCTAGATTCTTTTAGCTATTCAATTTAAACGAATTTGTTAACTAAAACTTACAACTAGATGACTTACAATTACACCACTTACCGTAAATACTGTGATAGTGCCCCACCCCCATAATGACGGTGCGGAGTGTTGCGTAGTCTAGCTTTGAACGAGTGTTTCTCGACACTGGTTTATGCTACAATGGGCGCTTAGGTATCAAAAAGCCCTGAATTTCAGCTATTTTTTGATACCAAAGACGCATTTTTTGAAAGTACGGGCGCTTTGAAAAAAATGAAATACTAAAAAACTTTTGCGACTACGCGACTGTACGAGAGGGGTGGGGTACTATTACAGTATTTACGGTAGTTAATTATTGTAAAAATTTTTACATTCCCCCAAGACCAGGCATGATTTGTGGATGTTTTCTGTGAACTCTTTTCCCCTTTAAACTGGACTCACTTGGTGGAACGGTCTCTTTTTTTTCCATCATTTATTTTCGTTTTTGGCTCATTTACGACCTTTTTCAAGAAGGGGAACCTGTTTTGAGAAAAACTTTAACTAGTTTGCATTTTGTTCTAATTTGCTTAAACGTATACTTTCTGGCACATACCTTTTCTCAGGATTTCTTTGATATCACTAAAAAGTAAGGCATTTAGTGTACCAGAAAGCGAACGTTTATGAGAGCATAAGAGCTGAATTGAGTAGCTTCATCAACTCAACTTTCCATATCTCGTTTCTCTTTCAAGAATTTTTTTTTTCAAAATCAGTAGTTCCTGATCTTTTTCCAAAAGAAAACACGTCTCAATTTTCCTTTTCCGTGATTTCGTTCCAGTGACCGACTGTAAAAGTTTTCTTTTGATACCAAACGGAACAAATATCGACCCCATGATGACATGGAAATTTTCTAGTCTTAAATCTTCAAATATTTTCCATGAAGACAACTATTTGCTCTCACATACAAAGATTTATACTTATTATGTGTGCTCGTAACCTGCGCGTCTTACGCGCTTTACGCATAATCTCATTTTTCGTATAAGCTAAAAAAACATAAAGTGTAGTTAATAAGTTCTTTGAGATTTTGGACAATTTATTGTCTCCAACCAAACTTTCAAACTTTAAACCACTTTTAAAAGCGTTAACACTTTTCTTTTCTTAAAATTGTCCAGAATGAAAATTTTGCCAACAAGTTTTCTAAAATATAAAATTTGGGTCGCATTTTAGCAAAAGTTAGGCTACGGTATAAAGAACACAAAAAATATTATTGAAGAGTTGAGCCTCCTCAATTAAGGGTGCGCAGAAAGCCCCTTGAGAGACAAAGCCGGGGAAAAAGCTCCCCACTTAGAAGTCTTCATGGCGCGGTGCCAGAAGTTTCTCGTTCGGGAGATGCGGGGTTCGATCCCGCATGCTTTTCTTGGATTGATTTGAGTACTTTGACTCTTTCTTCTTCGATTTAAATTCCATATTTACCCAATCAAATCCATTATTCTCGAATGACGTGCGGGTAAAACGACCAAGATCTTTTATGACTCATCGTTTCTTCAATCATAAACCCCTTCTTTCAGACCGTCTTTCAGTCAAAAAGCACTGATATGGAGACACTTATGATTTGTTGGAATCTTGTTTTTCGAAATTTTGTTCTCCTTGTACAAATTTTTGCGAATTCCATCTTTTTCAATGATTTTTTGAAACATCAGTCTTCTAAAATGATTTTCATTTGAACTTTTCCTTAAACCAAACCATTTTTTTAAAATAAAAGTTCTTGAAATTTCACAAATTCTTAACAAACACGCGTTTCTATATTCTTCAATGCGTGGTTTCTATTTGCCGACTTGTCACTTTACGAAATTTACACTTTAGCTTTGAATCGTTGGGGAATTTTCATGAAAGAGACTTGATGAAAGGATGAAAAATCATTCCAACTTGTGTAATCTATTGTTGATTTTTGTTTTTGAGTCAACAACCGTGATTTCTACTTTCCAAGATTCATTTCAGAGCTGGTCAGACTGATCTGGTCAGGGTTGAGGCTGACTGAACACGATACGGCCCACCGGTGAGCCCTACGTGGATTTAGCACTTTTTTTTGAGGCCGATTGGGCTGTAAATTTGCACCAGGGGCTTTTCGGAGTCAAGGAATGCGTAGAATAATTAGAATAAGATACGTAACTCCAGATCTAAAGCGATCAAAGCTTTGTACTGAATTCAAGCTCCAAGCTTTGTTCAAGCTCTGCTCAAGCTTCAAGCTCTATTTCAAAACCCTGAAAGAGCAAAGTTCAAATGGATTTGTCATCAAGAATTTTTGGGAATTTCGATTTGGATAAATGAAGAGTATGAAATGAAAGACCATCGAGGATTGAATGCAATTGAATGAGTCGAGAGTTGTTGTCCCAGCTGTTATTCACTTCACCAGATTCTCAGTCTTCTTTTTCTTTTCTTTTTTTCTTTTCTTTCTTTCCTTCCCATTTCTCATTCTTTTCATATGTTTGTTCTTTTGAGAGAGCCGGCTTTTTCCTTTCTGTCACCCCTTTTCCTTTTCCTTTCCTTCTCCTTTCCTTTCCTTCTCATTGGCCTTTTCCTGTAATCATTTTCACCAAAGTTCTCCTCTTTTTCCGTGCCAATGGCAAACCTTTTCGCACTCAAATAATCCAGTGATCTCAAACATAACTCTCATTTTTTATTGGATATCATTATCTGTAAGTGTAGGCTCTTCTACTTCAAAGCACAGCTCTTCTACTTCAAAGCACGGCTCTTCGACTTCAAAGTACGGCTCTTCTACTTCAGAGCACGGCTCTTCTACTTCAAAGTACGGCTCTTCCACTTCAAATTACGGCTCTTCTACTTCAAAGCACGGCTCTTCTACTTCAAAGTACAGCTCTTCGACTTCATTTTTTTGTACTAATAAGAATTCAATCCAAATCTAAATCAATATTTTAAAATCTAAAGCTAAAAAGACAACTCGACTCGACAATCAAGAAAAGAAATGCTTCAAACTTTTGACTTCTTCTTCTTTCATCTTTCCCTTCATCTTTCCATTTAGACTTTTCCAGTCAATCTTTAGACTCTCCTTTTGAAATCTCTATTTTACTTGAGCATTTGATCGACAAATTTTCGTTTTTCTTTTCATTTCCCCAAAGATAACTACAACCTAGTGAGATGTACTCGCAAAGAAAACAAATAAAATTTCGAGATTTCAACAAATCCCAGATCTTTTTCTTCATTTTTTGCGGAAATTTGATTTCCGAATTTTTGATTTTGATTGAAATTTGCATTTAAAACTTACTGTACTTTATTGTCGTCGATTCTTCCCTAAAAGCCCGGAAATTTCAGTTTTCATGCGACTCGAGCGGTGAAGAAAAGAGAAAGCGTCAGTTGAACGCAAGGTTTGACGATTTTCAATTGAAAATAGTACTGTTTCACCAAAATGAGACTACTGTATCAGTCAAAGTATGCAAATTTTTACTATTCAAGCGTTTAGATATGATCTCCTTTTGGCGGCAACTGCGTTTTCTTCTTTGGAAAGGATATTTGGTGAAGAGACGGCAAAAAGTGAGGATTTATTATGTATAATAGGGAAGTCTGTCCGTCCGTCTGTCTGTCTCTTTACAGTACGTCTGTCTGTCTGCCTTTACAGTACGTCTGTCTGTCTATCTTTAAAGTACGTATGTCTGTCCGTCTGTCTGTCCGTCCGTCTGTATCCGAACGATATTGCAACCATCCGTCGGTCCGTCTGCCCGTCCGTTCGGCCGTCCGTCTGTCTGGCTGTCTGTCTGTTTGTCTGTCCGTCCGTTCGGCTGTCCGTCTGTCTGTCCGTCCGTCTGTCTGTTCGTCCGTCTGTCTGTCTGTACAGTACTTCTGTCTGTCTGTTTATACAGTACTTCCGTCTGTCTGTCTTTACAGTACGTCTGTCTGCTCCCCGTGGGCCGATTTACAAGATTTTTGGCTTGTTAGGCTTAGAATTCTAGGTATTATCCCAGTGGATTGGAGTGGATCACATATTTGGAGCCCGGATCGTGTGGGCCATAGACAAGCGCGCTTCCGAGTGCGCCACGGCGACTATACGTCGTCACCAAAACATTCAGCCATAAAACTCGCCGTTAGGCGGGTTTTTCGGCTGGTTTTTTTCCGTTTTTTTCTGGTTTTGTCGTATTTGAGTGGTTTAATTGATAATCTTTTACTAGAACTACGGTATATCAAAGCAAAAAGCTACAGTAACCCTTTTCTCCTCTAGAAATGGTTGGTGGCCGAGTTGTTGACGCCGATTTTGCTCTTTTTCATTCTGGCGATGATCCGATTACGCGATTTCACGACGAGTGGATCTGAATGTGCGTGGAATTGTGATAAACTAATAAATAAAACCCAGATATGAGTTCAATTTCAACCCATTTCCAGGCCATTTCGATTCCAAAGGTTTCCCCTCAGCCGGCCTTCTTCCATTCACTCAAAGTTTTCTCTGTTCAATCACAAATCGATGTAATCGAGGTTTTGTTACGACAGGAGATGAAGGAGCTGAGATCAACTTCGATACATCCAATCAATCAGCGTCAGTTTTTAAGAGCTTTCATTAAGAGCTTTTCATTAAGAGCTTTACATTAAGAGCTTTTCATTAATCTAAACCTGCAAGGACTCAAAATTGAGCTTGAATTGAGCTAAGTACATGTGCATGTACATGTACATGAAATTTGGTATCTTCTTTAGACTGATTCGAACGATGCGAGAGTTGTCGACTCAATTTGAGAACATTGGGGCAAATACGGTAATTTTTAAGGTTTAAATTCAATGGCTTTTTTAAAAAACCCAGGTTCTTTTCGAGGATTTTGTGTCGGCAGCCGTGTCAATCATCAAATTAGCCGCTGATTACAACGAGACATCGGGTGTACCGATTGTAAAGGCAAGTTTGAAGAATAGATAGAAGAATAGATAGAAGAATAGATAGAAGAATAGATAAGCTAAAAGCTACACCAAAAGCAAGCTAAAGCTAAGCCAAAGCATGCTAAAGCGCTAAAGCTAGCTAAAGCAGCCAAGCTAAGCCAAAGCTGCAAGCAAAGCTAGCAAAGCTAAGCTAAAGCAAGCCAAAGCAAGCAAAGCTGCAAGCCAGCTGCTCAAAGCTAAGCTAAAGCTAAGCTAAAGCTAAGCTAAAGCTAAGCTAAAGCTAAGCTAAAGCTAAAAATAATAGATAATAGATAAAGGCTAATGCTGTAGACGATCCTTTCAGCTTTTCACCCATCGTGATGTGGCTCTTCAAACACTTGAACGTCTCGAATTGTCCCCACATCTTCGAGAAGCGCTAGTTAGCGCCACTTTAACAGTACCTGGGATGCTCGCAATTAGGGAATATGTAAGATTTAAAAAGTTTAAAAAGTTAAAGAATATTCAGCTCTTTCCTTGAAACATGGTCTTTTAAAGTCTGTCAAAGTGGCGTTTCATAGGCTTTTAGCTAAAAAAGTCAGCTTCATGGTTTTTTGAATTTTGTTTGCCTTTTCCCTGCTTTTTCTGCATCAAGATATTCCAACAATTGTTTTAAAACATATTGAAAAACAAAAACATTTACATTAAACATTAAAACATTGAATATGTTTACATTTGAAAGGAATTTCCCACCAAATCAGTTAAACAGCTGAATATCTTTAAAAGGCCATATTTAATTTAAAAGGGATTCATTTTTGCCAACTTTTTTTTTTGGCCAAAAGACCATGTTTCAGGAAAAAAGCCGAATATTCTAATATTCTATCAAATTTCTTAGGCTATGATGCACACAAATGATTCGATTGTCGACACGGTTTTCTCGGCTTTCGAGGCGGTACCTTTGCTCTGCAATAAAACGATTTTCGATCAGGCTTTCAATTTCCCACAAGCAGTCCAGTAAGTTTGCCGTTAGTACACTAATTGCTTACTATATATACCGTAAATACTGTAATAATACCCCACCCCCATAATGACGGTGCGGAGTGTTGCGTAGTCTAGGTTTGAACGCATTTTTCTCGACACTGGTTTATGCTACAATGCGCGCTTAGGTATCAAAAAATAGCTGAAATTCAGGGCTATTTTTTGATACCAAAGACGCATTTTTTGAAAGTACGGGTGCCTTGAAAAAATGAAATACTAAAAAACTTTGCGACTACGCGACTGTACGAGGGGGGTGGGGTACTATTACAGTATTTGCGGTATGTACTTTCAAATCAAAAGCTACTTTTAGAATGACCGAAGCGGATCGGGAAGAGTTGTGCAACTTGCGGACAACGGATCTGATTTGGTTGGCACAGAAAATCGACAAGGGAAATCTGCAGAAAGAGGTTGGTTGATTGGTTGAAAGAGGTTGATTTGAATATCTAAGAACTTTATTTTGTTGTAGTTGTAGTCGTTTAAGTTGTTGTAGTCGTTTAAGTTGTTGTAGTTGTTCAAGTTGTTGTAGTTGTTCAAGTTGTTGTAGTTGTTCAAGTTATTTAAGTTGTTGTAGTCGTTTAAGTTGTTGTAGTTGTTCAAGTTGTTTAAGTTGTTGTAGTCGTTTAAGTTGTTGTAGTTGTTCAAGTTGTTTAAGTTGTTGTAGTCGTTTAAGTTGTTGTAGTTGTTCAAGTTGTTGTAGTTGTTAGTTGTTTAAGTTGTTAGTTGTTTAAGTTGTTAGTCGTTTAAGTTGTTGTAGTTGTTCAAGTTGTTGTAGTTGTTTAAGTTAAGTTGTTGAAGGTCTTGTAGTTGTTCAAGTTGTTGTAGTTGTTAGTTGTTTAAGTTAAGTTGTTTAAGTTGTTGTAGTTGTTGTAGGTGTTTAAGTTAAGTTGTTTAGGTTATGACTATCCAAGACGTGTTAACATTGTCAATTCCAATTTTAGTTGCAAGAAGTCGGCCTGAACATGAACCATCTCAATCAATTGTACACGAGACGTGGCGAGGTTCTTCACATGTTCGATCCTCTTGTGAACATTGTCGAGATTTGGAGAGAATTTAATGGAACCGATAAACAAAGCATTATCGATTATTTCTTTTGCGGAGAAGATCCATGTGAGTATTGATTTGATTGAACTTTATTGAGCTTTAGCATTGAGATTGAATTTATTGATTGAATATCTATTTATTTAATGAGATTGAATTTAGCTTTAAAAACTATTGATTTCATTGTTTCATTTTAAAAACTTTAAAAACTATTATTGTTCATTTAGTGGACCAAACAGCTTCCTCAAATCTGCCACCGGAGAAGACGGTGGAGACTTTATTGGACAAGATTATGGATCCCGTCAGACAGTACGTTTTACGTTTATACCTTTAATAAGCTTTAATAAGCCTTTAAGATATTTACCATAATATCTTTAATAAGCCTTCGTATAGGCTTATAGTATAGTATAGATATTGCGGTACAGATATTGCGGTTATTAAGTACTTACTAAGCCCTAGTATTCTGCAAAATAGACATTTTAGATTCGTTTAGATTTTTTTATTTTAGATTCGTATTACGATTGACTCCAGGTCGAGATGATACCGGCAATCAGACACATTGCTATAATGTAAAATTACATGATGGTTTGTTTGGAATTAGTTTTAAAGTTTAAAAAAAAATTCTAGATCTTGAATGCTCACAATTGGAATCACAAGCGATTCGCCAACTTCGACCAATGCTTTCTGGATATATTCTTGTCTCTCCTGATGCGCCTGTTGTGAGGGATCTTGTGAAAAAGGTTGGCTTTGGTGTAAGATATGTTTGGAACAAGTCTTGTGTTTAATCTCAAGGCAGACATCTTCAATATTATGTCAAGGACTATACAGAATTTTTAGCTAGAAGACCCATTGCGTCAATGGCAGCGATTATTGGACACATTAAAAGAAATGGGTGGAACGAGTAATGCTTTTCAGGGAGTGCTACATGAAAGCACTTTGGCCAAAGGTTTACGAGTGGGTTTATAAGCTTTAGAATTTAGATTAGAGTTTGTTCCTCTTAATTAATGCGCTTTCCAAAGCGTGCTCCTCAAAAAGACTATCGTAGTTATGTAAATTTGTTTATATGCTTTTTCTAAGCCCAAAATATGAATAAAGTTCAGGTATTTTGTATTATGTTTGTTCAAGTATTAACTAAAATACCTAAATTTGTGTTTATCTGTAACAAAAACCTTTTTAGCACAAAAATAGCGTGAAAACTCATTTATTAACATTTTTTCTTTTTTTGACTAAAAGGAACTTTTTGATTTGAAAAAAAATGACTTATGTTCCAAGCTTGAAAATTTGAACTTATTCCTACGCTCACTTAGTCGGATACATTTTTAAAAAATTTGCTAGATGATTAAAGATTCTAACAGTGAAAGCTTGAACTTAATTTATATTTTGGGCGTAAAGAACGAGATACTTTTCTTGAAAAAAGGAGCGTAAGAATGGGTTGATTTCTTGTCATCCTGTAGATAGTGCGATTCAGCTTAAGTTATTCAGCTAATTTAATTTGCAATTTGTTTAATTGACGCATTAATTGAGACAAATCTTGATTCATTGACCTTTAATCGATTAAAAATTTATTCAATTTATTATTCAATGTGAATTTATTCAAATAATTATGTAATTACAAGGCTAAAACTAATGTTTTTAGGTGTTGGCCAAATGGGGAGAAAAGGAAGGTTTTATCAAGAATGAGACGTTGGCTTTGCTCGAGGCGTTACTTGGACCTGAAGGAAGTCCGCTGGCTTTTGGAACAGAGCTGGGAATTGTCTTGGAAACAGTCAACAACTATTCGAAAGTGAGTTATGATAGTTTTACGGATTACTGTACTAATCTAATGAATCAAAGCTAGCATCTAATCCAAACCTAGCATCTAATCTATTTAGTGCCTGATAGCCGATCGTTTCCGAATGATGCCAAATGAGACCGAGTTAGAAAAAGTGGCCATGTGTCTTCAGCCACATCAACAATATTTCACTTCAATCGTTTTTCCGGTAAGATCTGATTCAATGCAATTGTAATTTACATTCAATTCTAGGATCTAGCCTCTGATGCAACGAAATTCAACGAAACAGTCGTTTACAAGATTCGACACGAGCAAAATCTGGTTGATGGAACGGACAGCATCGCTGATTCGAATAGAAACACTGAACCAAGAAATAATCCGATTCGTGATTTAAAATATCTCACCTTTGGGTGGTCTTTCCTTCAAGAAGCTATCGATCGAGCGTTGATTGAGATGCAGGTTTGAAATGGAGAAGCTAGCAAAGAAATTTTCTGTTATCTTTTGTTATTTAGACTAGAGTGTGTTTAATACGTTTTCTAAAACGCGCCCCCGAGAAAAAGTGCCGTAATCTCGACGAGAAAAAAATGAAAAATGAAAGAAAAAAGTTAATATTAGCTTGATTACTAAGTCTTGCACCGAAATTCATTTTCTAATCGAATAAGTTTACCAAATCAAAGACGGTTTTTTCGTTAGCTCAATGAGATAGCTCAATTCATTAGATAGCTTAATTCATTAGATAGCTCAATCATTTCTCTTGCAAATGACTTTTGAAAGTTATTGAAAAGCTTTATTTTGAAGGGTTTTCATTAGAAAGAAGCCGGGTGTTCAAAAATTACGAGATCCGATGATGCGATTTGGACCAATTTTTTTTCAATGAAACCTATTTTGATGCAAATTAAAAAAGATAGCGCATAAAAAGTTAGGCTTAACGCCAAAATTTCAGTTTTCATTGTTTCATTTCAATTTCAGTATTAATTTTTCAATATTTTTAAAAATATCTGTTTTCGCTTTCGCAGATTATTCTAAAATACTCAAAATTGTTTAAAGTTGACAAAAAGTAAACGAAAAACATTTCTAATGAAAGAAAAGTGTTTAGTATTTGGTAATTTTAGGTAATTTTAGGGGTAGGCTACTTTCCGCCATTTTATTTGCGCAACAGGGTCATTTGCGCAACTTTTTTTTGCGCAACAGGGTCATTTGCGCAACTTTTTTGATGTTTTTAAGGGACTGGCGCAAAAGCAGAGCGGTGCGCGTTCTAAAGCGTGGATGCGCTACCGTACCCCGCACAAAAATTTGCGCAAGTACTTATGCGCAACTTTTTTTTGCTATGTTTTTGTAGTGAGCTTTTAAAGTACTCTCTCCCCTCGTTCGTTCCCTCCTTTTTATATTGTTTGCTCATAGTTTGTTGTTTAAAATTCTAGTACGGTTTTCATCGTTTTCATCGGCTATCAATCTCACTGTTGGACAAAACTACCCACGGAAGAAAACTGTATTGGCTCGACAAAAGCAACGTTTTACTGCTATTTCTAATGGTCGCTTGCCCGGTTGCGATTTTGTGCAACATCTTTCTCAGCTTTTGACTTATATTTTAAAAATTTGATTTTTATTGTTGTCCTAACTTTTATTGTTATTGGTTGCACTTTTTTGTTAAAGCGATAAAATATTTTACTAATGGTTATTAGCTCCTAGAAAGGACTAATTTAGATAAATATTGGAAGATAGTGCAAAAAATTGGAAGATTTCATAAAAAATAGAAGAAAATAAAAAAACAATAAAAAAAAGCTCAAAAATGAAAATAATGATTAAAAATTCGAGTGCTTAATACAGTGTTAAAGTTGCGCAAATGACCCTTTTTGTGCAAAAAAAAAGTTGCGCAAATGACCCTTGTTGCGCAAACGTACTTGCGCAAATGACCCTGTTGCGCAAATAAAATGGCGGAAAGTAGCCTACCCCTAATTTTAGGCTCATTCATTTCGATAATGAAATAGGGGACGCAAGATTTCGTACTCAATCTAATCTATGCAAATGCAAAAATAGAGAAGATGCAAATAAAAATAGAGAACAAAATAAGACAAAATTTATAAAATATCAAAAATAAGCCTAAAATTTTGCCACAGCTTTTAATACTTTAGTTTAATTTAGCTAAATAGCTGGTCAATGAGAGAAAGCGTTTTAAAAAACGCATGAATCGACGATTAATCGATTAGAATTTTAATTTTAATCGATTTTAATCATTTAACTTTAATCGAAATTTTAATATTTAATTGTCTTTAATTTTAATCTTTAACCATTAAATGATCGCGGAGAACAAACTTTCATTTAGACAGGTGAACGTCCTCCAATCGGCGTTTACTCCCAACAAGAGCCATATCCATGTATCGTTTCTGATCAGTGAGTGTTCAAATTTTTTTCACAAAATGTTTTAATTTAGTTTTGATGTCTCACAATTCATGTCGTTTTTCGTCGTTCTCTCATGGATTATCCCATCAGCGATGCTCGTGAAAAATATCGTTTACGAGAAAGAACACAAGTTAAAGGTAAGTCTTTGATTCTTTGAATCTTTGATTGATTGATGAGTACTGCTTTGAATTGAACAATTGTTAAATCCTTTTCTTTAGGAGTTGATGCGAATCATGGGTTTGGGTGACACGATTCATTTCCTTTCTTGGGCTTTCATTTCCTTTGTGCTTAACACGATCTCCGTGCTCGTCATCTCGCTCATTTTATGGGTAATATTTTGATGTAGATTAGACATAATTACCAAGACTTTAACAATATCAAGACAAATATCTAGACTAAACCCTTATCAATCACTTACAACCATTATAGTGCGGAATATATAGTGTTGCGCTCGACAAAACAATGATTTTCTTAAAAACCAAAAGAGTTTCCTTTAGATATTTAAAATCTACAGACATTTTTTCACTAGATTCATGAGTTTTTGTAAAAATTTAAAACTTCATTTCATTTCATATAAGAATTTAAGCTTGATTGCTCGAAAAAAAAAAGAAATTTGTCAAAAATGCTCACTTTGGTAGCCAAGATAAGCTCACATTTGCGATAATGGAGCTCAAAAAGCAGTAATTTTATATTAAAGAACTCTGAAAATGTATTAATGCGGAAAAAGACGGAAAAGACGATATTTTAGACCAAATTAGAATTTAACTAGTTTTCGGCATCGTATCGCATAGCATTTTTCGCACTGCTCGACTAGGGTTGTCAAACTCATTAAAAAGTATTACGGTTCTTCTATTTGTTAAATTATGTGTAGATTAATTGTTGTTTTTCAGCTTAGTCTTAGAAAGCCAAAACGCCAAAACGACGCATTAAGCGCAACATTAGATACAGTAGTGGACAAAGACTTAGCATAATTTAGTTTTTTTGTAATAAAAGCCACTGTTTGTGCAATATCTACCTAAAACTTTGAAATAATAAATAAATATATAATGATAAAACACTTTGTTGCGCCAGTTTTGTATAAAAAGCTTCAAAATTTTTTTTTTGAAAGTCTAAATACCAATTATTTTTATTAAAACGTCGAATTTTATTATTATATTTCAAATTTTTAGGTAAATCTTGCACAAAGAGCGGCTTTTATTACAAAAAAACTAAATTATTTTAAGTTTCAAAGTTGCTTTCAGCTAAGTCTGGTTTTAAAAATTGAAAAGAGAAAGAAAAAATGTTAAACTCTATGGTTTTGCAAGTAAATTTGGTATTTTTTTGAACAATTTGATGTTTTTGTAACTATCATGACATTATAAAGCATTGGTGAGGTATTGATAAGGCTTTCAATCATTGTATTGTTATAATATTAAACTTGTTAATGATAAACATCTCTACTTTAAGTCTTTCAGATCGGAAATCTCCTGGGTCACACGAATTTCTTCATCATTTTCATGGTTTTGATGCTTTTCGCACTTTCTTCTATAGCTCTATCATTATTGATAACGACGTTTTTCTCGTGAGTTTTGGAGAAATTTGAAAACTTTTGTGTAATGATTACTATCACTAAAATCTAAAATCTATAAACTCTGACAGAGTTTCTCTTTTAGGAGCTCAAACATTGCCACCGCCACCACAGCATTTATCGTTTTGCTTTTCTCATTTCCTTTTATGCTCTCAAAGAATATCAACAGTTCGCTTTATGCGAAAGTGACGGTATTTTGCTAAAAGAATCAATTTATAATCAAATATTTAGCTTTTATTACCACAAACGGCAATCGGTTATGCATTCAAAATGTTGGGTGAAGCGAATAAAGAAGATGCGGCCGGATGGAAAGATTTGGGACATATGCAAATTGAACGTATGTTGGATAGAATTTAAGAAAATTGGAGAAAAAGATAGAGCCAAGATAAGATTACGGTAGTTTTTCGAAAGTTAACAACCTTTAGAAAACGAAAAATCCAAGGCAATCGGGTGTCTATTTTAGAATTCGACGTGAAGATGTGGGAATGTCTGGTGGCTCTCGTTGTGCACATTTTCCTATTCTCGATTCTTTCTTGGTATATCTCGGCGTTGTTTCCGGGTATGTGCTAGCAAAAAAAAAAGCAAAAGAATTGACGGGGAGAGGAGTCGAACCCGCGACCTTTCTTCCGTTCGTTTGAGAGAAGCGTGCGTTAACCACTCGGTCACTCGGTTTTAGCCGCTGGCGCAGTGCGAGCGCACTTGTCTCTACACGACCCGGGTTCGACTCCCACCCGCGTCAACACTTTTGGTTTTTCAAGATTTTAAAAACATGTTGCATAACTACATGAAATTCTAAGCCAAACTAACTATAAGTCATTTGAAACGGCCCACTGGGCGCGGAGGAGTAGTGCGCACAGGCAGACAGGCACAGCTTTTTTTAAAATATTGTATAGATTTATGTCTGTCCGTCTGTATGGGCTTTTTCGGCTTTCTCTTTCATGCTTCCTTTGCTCTTTCTCTTGACAAGTTAAGGTACCGGATAGCTCAGTGGTTAGAGCAATTGCCTTGAAAGCAAAAGGTTCGAGGTTGGGGTTCGAGGGTTCAATCCCCTCCCCAGAAATCTACTTTTTTTTTTTTGCCAATTTCTTCACTTCGTTGTTATCAGCTATGCATTTCCAGGAGTTTACGGAGTTGGTCAACGCTGGTATTTCCCATTCACTTTACGGTATTGGATGCCAAGATTAGCGTCAAGACGGGTCTTGACTGAAGTGGAGAATGGTGGCACAGTAAATGATACTTTATATGATCGTAAGTTTTACTTTTAATCGTACTACTTAAAAAATGCTACTGATGGAACTGATAAAATAGCTAACTGTACGGCAAAACTTTTCAAACCTTCCTTTCAGCGGCACTTGGCTTTGAAGCAGAACCAAATGAAGGCACATATCAAGTGAATATCCAACATTTATCAAAAGTCTATTCGAACAATGACGTGAAAGCGGTTGGAATTTTGTAAAAGCCAGTAAAGCAACTGTTCTTTCAGCTTGATGATCTCTCTTTACGACTGTATGAGGGACAAATCACCGCCTTACTTGGACACAATGGAGCTGGGAAAACGACTACAATGTATGTCTTACGTTTGATTAAGAATTTATCGAATCAATTGTGTAAAAATGTGAAATGATGCAAATCTAATTTATTTAGGCATATAATAGTGTTTTCTTTATTGTTGTTATATTGAATCATCGGCAGGTGAACGGCCCAGTCTTTTTTTAGTCTAAAAAAGTACTTTCCAAAAAGATTTTGGTTCAGCGCGCACACAGCTCTTCAAAAAAGGCCATTTTTGGCCATTTGTGAGCGTTTTTGACAGCTTTTTGATCATTTTTGACCTTTTTTTGATCATTTTTGCCTTTTTTTGATCATTTTTGACCTTTTTTTTTGAACTTTTTTGAAACTGTGTGCTCGCCTCGTCTTTTCGCGAAATCTTTTCGAAAAATACATAGAGAATAGGAATTTGAGGTCAGATTTGCTCAAAAATGGTTAGAAGTTAGTTAAAAGTTAAACTGGAAGTTAAAAAGTTGAAAAATTTGACCTTGCGTCGAGCTCAGAAGAATTAAAAATGTTGATGGTAAGAACTCGAACTAGATAAGAGCTTTTAGGCTCATAATACTAGAAACGGATCAAAGTACAACTTTGTTTTTGTTTGAATCGATATCTCACAAAGAGAAAAAAAATACCATCGACTAAATCATTTTAAACGCTACTGCAAACCATGACTTTTTTTTTGATGAGCTTTTTTCAGGTCATTGCTCTGTGGTTTATATGGTCCAAGTCATGGTACAGCAAGGGTATGTTTTAAATTAAAAGCTAAATTAAAAGCTACCTGTGTCTAAAGTAATTTTATGAATCAAGCTCTCACCCACAAAAATTCTTTGGTCGGCTAAAGAGGGGACAGATTTGAGCCTGGCTTCTGGCTTGGTCTGGTTGAAAAATCCCTAAAAGCTATCTAGTTAGCTAAAAGCTAAAAGATTCAATATTCATTAAAGCTTTTGTTACTTTCAGCTTTTCAAATTCTCAATTTCAAATCTTCTTTTCAGATCTACGGTCATGATATTCGTCGAAACATTCGTGGTGTCCGAGATGTTCTTGGCATTTGTCCTCAACATAATGTTCTTTTTGCACAGTTGGTTGATTTATTGTTGCTTAACGTGCTTTCTTTTAGCTTAACCGTCCAAGAACAACTTGAATTCTATGCGTCATTGAAAGGAGTCGAGGAGAAGGTAAAAAAAATTATCAAAAATGACTTTCTAACAGCAATTTTAGGACCTTCAAAACGAGGTCAACGAGATTTTGGACAGTGTGGCGCTTTGGGATAAAAAGGATAAACTCGCGGCAACGTTATCAGGTTAGATCCTATTAAAAGTAGAGAATTGTAATTAAAAGTAGAGAATTGTAACTAAAATATTGACTTGTAAATAGTAAATAGACATTTGAAATAAACAGATAGTAGAGTAAAATAAATTTTCTTTATCTAGGTGGGATGAAGAGACGGCTTTCGATCGGAATCGCTCTCATTGGTGGCTCGAAATTTGTGATTCTTGATGAGCCAACAGCTGGGGTAAACTTGCATTTTCATACCAAAAAAAAGGCAATGTTCAGGTTGATGTGAACTCGAGAAAAGACATCTGGAAATTGTTGTTGAAACATAAAGAAGGTAAAGGGAAGATTTTTCTAGTTTTTCACAATTTAATTTTAGGGCGCACAATTCTTTTATCCACCCATCACATGGATGAAGCCGATGTACTCTCCGATCGAATTGCAATTTTGTCTGAGGGAAGGCTGAAGGTTTTGATGAATAATAATGGAATTCGTGAAATTTCCAATTCAGGCTCTTGGCAGCAGTGTTTATTTGAAGAGGAAACATGGGCACAGTTATACACTGACACTTGTCAAGGCAAGTTCTACAATTCTACTTTAATTCTACTTTAATTCTACTTTACAATGTGTAAATTTATCTAATTCGACTTAACTAGTACCAAAACTGATTGAATTGTTTAGAAAAAGGACCTCGACACGAGTGCAATCAAGAAAATCGATGAAATTGATGGAGTTCATTGCAAATTCGTTGAGGAAACCGATGAAGAAGTGAGTTTGGTTCGAAAATTGTGCAATTTCTCTTTCCAGATTATCTATTTGATCCCAATTGATACGCCGAGTGAAGATTTGCAGAGATTCTTTGAGGTATTCAGCTATCAATTCTAGATTGATCAGCTAAATTTAGATATTGGACTCGCGGATGATTGACTATGGATGTGCTGGTTATGGCGTTCAAGCACCATCTTTACAACAGGTATAGTTATTTTGAGCTTACGATACTTTTGCCAAAGTGTCCCTTTTCGAAAAGGCTATCGGACATTTGATACGCCCCGCGCCCTTTGCCATTGACGATCTAACTTTGAGCTCAAATATCTTGGTGTTTGACTGTTCAATTTAAATAGTTTTTGTACCAATCGACAGAGAAAGAATTGGCGCATCTAATGATACGAAAAATATCTAAATTAGACAGCCCAACAACGAGATATTTGAGCTCAAAGTTAGATTGCCAATAGCAAAGGGGGTGGGGCGCGTTTCAAATGTCCGATAACCTTTCGAAAACGCTTTAGGTTACTTTTGGGATACTTTTTTTCAAAAGTCCTTTTGCTAGGGTAGTTTTTTTATGTAGGTTACGAATTTCATAGTGGCAGAGATGCGTTTTAAACCAACTTTCGGGAACCAAAGACGCCGTCTCTACAGTATACTTCACTGCGGGCTTGTAGCCCATCTAAGGCCTCGGAGAATTTTTTCGACATGCAAAGATGCATTCTTTTGGTTAATTGAGTGTCCACAACATGAAAATAGCAAAATTTCGAATTTCCCATGGTTTTCACCCATGTGGGAAACCACATGTGAAGATTTCGCAAAATTTTCGACTTGAATTTGGTTAGAATTGCACGTAGGACTCTAAATTACCTCAGAAAAAGTCTTTTTGGAAAGAAAAAGGCTCATTTGAGCTCTTATAGAAACATTACAGCGAAGTACACTATAGAGATAGCGACTTTAAGCCTCTAAAAGTTGATCAAAAATGCATTTTCCCCAGCTGCGACTATGAAATTTGTAATCTACGCAAAAAATCGGCTTAGAAAATGCACTTTTGAAGAAAAAAAGTTGCTTTTCTTTCGTAAACTACCGTAATCTTAAGCCTTGCTAGGTTTACACATCTCATACGAGCTATAAGAACTAAAAAAAAACTTCAGATCTTTGTCAACCTGGCTCCCCAAAACGAGTACGAGCTTCGCAAAGAGAAAGGACGCTTCCAACGATGGTTCGAGTATTTATGCTGCAATTGCAAGGTTTGATTTCAATTTAAAGATCACTTCTAACTCTATTCGTCTTGTGCTACTCTATAAATTTTCCAGAGAAAACGATTTTACATGCCGGTAAGATTTCGCAAAAAGTCTAGCCAAAAAAAGCTTCATTTTGTGTCGTTTCTCATTGTTGTACAGTGTTTTTTTTTCAAGAATAGTTTTACCGCCTGAAGACTTGATACCTAATTTGCCCTATTAGATATGTAATACTTAAAAAGATATGACAATTTGTTTTTAGAAGAGAACTGTGGACGATGGAGAGACGCTGATCATTGGACCGAATGGTGAGTATAGGAAATATTGTTTAAACTGAATATCTTTTAGGAACAGAAGTTGTGCCTAATGGAGCCGCAGCTCAGTACATCAATGAAAAGGAAGATCCGTGGCTGGGTATGGCTTAGAGAAATTTAGACAACATGGGCACTACAAACTACAAACGTAAACTACAAACGTAAACTACGAACGTAAACTACAAACGCTTCTAACTTGCTTCAAATCTACCGGATTGACACGAACTATAGCTCAAAAAATAGGGAATCTCAAGAGCTTTTGAATGAACTAAAGCACACCCAAAATAACAATGCTAAAGAAAGTTCGCTAAAGAAAAGACTCGATCGCTTCGACTACGTGCGAGTACGGTCAGGACTACAAACCACTGTAACTTTTTTAGCATTGATATTTTTGAGTATACTTTAGTCCATTCGAAAGCTCTTGAGATTCCCTATTTTTTGAGCTATAGATCATTTCAATCCCGTAGATTTGAAGCAAGTTAGAAGCGTTTGTAGTGTGACAGTTCGCTATTTTTGTAGTTTATAGTGGCCATCTCTAGCTTAGAGCTTATAAACTCGCCTACGGTATTCCTCCCAACCAAATCATTCTCGAAAACTTTTCAATTTTGGAACCACCAGATCTTGCCTATCTTTTATTTTATATATCTATTTTTGGGTTGATTCTGTTAGGAAAGATATCAATATTAGCTAGTTTGGTAAAACGCTAGCTTTTGAAAGCAACGACTACGCGATGCTCCTCTGGGCATGTCATACTATTAGGAAAAATACGGTAAATACTAGACATGGGAAAATTCCAATCCGAACCTAATTCCATCTTCGTTTTCTTGGCCGATTGCTCTGAAATTTCGTCTACAGATAGAAATCGACAGCCGGTAGACAAAGTTTCAGAGCAATTGGTCAAGAAACGGCCAAGAAAACGAAGGTGGAATTAGAGTAGGATTGGAATTTTTCGATGTCTAGTAAGTGCTAATACTAAGCTAATTGTAAGTACATATTGGAGTAAATCTTTTAGAAACGAATATTCCCTTGGACAATTCCTATTGGCGTCTGTCACTCGCTCACGCAAAAGCTCTCTTTGCCGCGAAAACTCTCTACACTCGAAGGAGCTTGAAATCCGTGTTTTTCCAGGTAAAATTTAGAAACTAAAGGAGTTTCCTAGCGATTTGTACTTGTATTTAAAATTGCGCGTGATTGATAACTTGTGCGTCTTGAATGTGATCAAAAAAAAACGAAATTTTACCGATACAAACAATAATTCAGTGAAAAATGAATAAAAATGGCCACAAAGGAAGAAAAAGGCCGTGACTACAGTAGGACAAGACAGAAAGACAGACAGGACAGACTCTAGCAAAAAATGCTTCGTAAATAGGTGTTGATTGTAGATTCAACTGCAAATCGTTTTACGAGTCGACTTTTCAGATCTTGTTACCAATTGTGCTCCTCTTCAGTGCAGAAATGTACGCAAAATATGTGGCAAATCCAAAAGTTTACGGACGATGGGCAAATATTATCACGGCTCCACCACTCATTCTAACAACAGCTTTATTCGGTGATGGATCCGAGAGTTATTTGAGTATTATGAGCGAACGAACGAACGAAACGGGATGGCCGGACAGACTTGTGTCCACATTTCAACATGATCCCGGTGTTGGTGTACGCTGTTTGCCATACACGATTGAGTGAGTGAAAGATTAAAAGAATCAAGATTTATATAGCTACAGTAGTCTTTATCTTTATCTTTATTCTTACCGTAATCCTTACTGATTACTGATTAGTTACAAAGTTGCAAAGTGCTTGGATTCCTATTCTCCAACTATTTCAACCTTTATTCGTCCAAAATGTGCTTCCCATTTAGCCTCATTACAAACGCATCGGCGCCTCACCAAGTCGAAAATAGCACCGAGATTGAGTAAGAAAGAGTGTAGAACATTGTAGTTAAGTGTTTTCCTTGGTTCTGAATTATATTTATGTCGTTACGCACTTAGAAATCTTTGGTTTTTAGTTATTTTTGCTATATAGTCAATGAAACTTGTCCGTTGTCTAAAAGTCAAGCTTTTAAGCAAAAAAAAAACAACTCGAAGACTTTCTTTAAAAGCTTACCGTACTAGTATGAAAAGCGCTAATTTGTCCTTGTCTTGGGATGATGTTTTCGGGAAATTTTTGGCTTTCTAAATGTCGTTTCGTCATTTCTGTACGTGTTTGTCACATTTTAGAGAGGCTTTCTTCACAAATGAAGCTTCACGATCGAAAAACAATGAGAGTTTAATCGCAAAGATGAACTACAAATTCGACGGGAGAGATGCGGGAGGAGAATTGGGAAGGAAAATATCATCACTGTTAGTTTTATCCTTTTTTGTATAGCTTATTATGCTTATTATCTGGATGCTTATGATCAGGGATGTTTCAAAAAAGCTAAAAACTATAAGCCAAGTCAGGCCGTAGCCAGAATTTCGATGTTTTTTTTTGGGAGAATCGCTAGAGCTTTGTCCAGAAGCGCTCACTCAATTTACACTCAAAGAAGAAAATTTAGCAAAATCTTTAGACTACATCATGGCTACAATGAGATTTTTCTAAAATCAAATTTACTCGAAAAAATTTGCTTTTTTTGAGAAAATTTCGGGAGATTTAGATGCTTTAGAGGTTTTAGACTGTTAGCAGAGATTTTAGACTATTAGCAGAGGTTTTAGACTATTAGCCGTTATCCAAGAAACTTCTAACAACCGCCAATCGATTCTCCGTATTGGTTTACATAGGACACGTAAAAAAATACATTTTTTCACGGCTTTTTGAGCCTTCCCCATGCGACCGCCATGGCCAAATGGCTAATGGCCTTGTTTCTTAGTCGGAGGGTCTTAGGGTTCAATCCCGCGGGCCTTTTTGTTCTGCTTCTTTTTTTGCCATATAGATTTTTTATATGGGAGTTTTTTTCTTTGCATCTCTTTTTCTTTCATTGTAACCATGATTTAGCCTGGAGATTTTGCTAAATTTTCTTCTTTGGATTTAATTTTATTGGGCGCTTTTGGACAAAGCTCTAGCGATTCTCCCAAAAACATCGAAATTCTGGCTAGAGAAAATTGGTTTTTAAGCATTCCTGCGTATTAGTTGCTTGTTAAACAAATCCTTTTGTTTTTTGGCTGTAAAAGTTTTAGTTCGAATCTTATTTTGGTTTACTAATCGTAGTCTCGATTTAGTGTTGGTAAATCAATTTTCAGTTCAATCGCTAATGAATGCAATAGAGTGTATTCTTCGAAATGTTTTCTAAAACGTGTAAACTTTCAAAAAACTATTACAATTACGGTAGTTTTTGAAAGTTTACACGTTTTAGAATACATTGATTGAGAGGAAGACGCTCTCGGAACCAGCATGCACCTTTGGAGATCTTTTCTCGGTGATCAGTTTGATTTCAGACAATTCAATCCAACTTGCTATCGACCCCAATCACCGAATGACACTTTTGTTCTTGAAGGAGCGAATCTCGACGATATTCCGTACAATGTCGATTTCTCATGTGGCTGTGATCCACATGTGGGATGGACGTGTACACAGGTAAAACCGGCAGCCGCAGATCTATAAAAGAGCAGATCTCCAAAGCTCGATTCAACTCGAAAAAAAACGCATTTTTTCTGTAAAATTTTCAATTGCTTTTTTTAAAGAAAATCGCTGAAGGGATCGTTTTGAAATTTTACAGACTTATGCAATCAAATGAGCTCTATCTTTTTTACTTTGACATTAAAATAGGTTTGTATTGAAGAAAGTGTCCAAATCGCTTTGACTTTGGCGTTTGAGCAGTTTTGGGTGCTCGCTTTTGCGCCTTTGTGAAAATCCACAAAAATAATTATTTCCAAGAATTTCTCAAAAGCCATTTAGCAGAGAAAGGGTTAAGCTTTTTTAATAGTAAAAATAGAAATTATGTTGGTTTCGACATTATTTTTAAAAAGCGTTTGAAAAAACAAAATTGTAAAGATGCAGTAAGCAAATAGCATACGAGAAACGCATCTTAGCTAGTTATAGTTAAAGTTTTATTATTTATTATATAGCGCTTTTATATAGCGTATATTATATAGCGCATTTATATAGGGCTTTTATATAGCTCATATTATATAGAAAAGCTGATTATATTATAGCTTTACTATTATCGTATTTAGGATGACTATCCGATCGATGATCTGCCGACTTTCCTCTCGGCAAACACAACCGATGTGATTCGGGATTTGTCGGGCAGAAATATTTCTCAATATCGCCTCATCACGAGATTCGTTCACAGCTACGAGAATATGCATGCAATGTTTGAGAAAAAAAATTCCTAAAGAAAAATGACTTGTTTAAGAATTGGTGGCTGGTCGTTGGGACATGAGAATATGCAAGCGGATCAAGAAAATATTAGAGAAGTGCTCGATGGATTCAATGACACGGTAAGGGGATCTTTTTTTTCATTTTTTGTTAATGAAGATCTTTGTAGTTTATTTACAGATTGAACTATCGTAATTGTATTTAAAAGTCGTGAGTGATTGGATACGGTTCCAATACGGTTCCAATACGGTTCCAATACGGTTCCAATACGGTTCCAATAAGGTTCCAATAAGGTTCCAATAAGGTTCCAATACGGTTCCTATTTTGATCTAATACGGTTCCAACACGGTTCCTATTTTGATCTAATACGGTTCCAATACGGTTCCAATACGGTTCCAATTCGGCTCCTATTTTGATCTAATACGGTTCCAATAAGGTTCCAACACGGTTCCAACACGGTTCCAATACGGTTCCTATTTTGATCTAATACGGTTCCAATACGGTCCCAATACGGTTCCAAACAAAATTAAGAAAACATTCTTAATTTTAGATAACCCAGCTTTCCCTAGCTGGCATCGAACTCGGACTGAACGGTTCACTTTGGGAAGGAAATTCGACAATGGTTTGCTTTTTGATTTTCAAAATTTCACATTCAATTTCTACAGGTTAATGACACATTCACTGCTAATTATACTTTGGAACAAGTAATCGCTAATATCTTTGCGAATCAAGATACAAAAGAGAATGTGAAAGTAAGTGAAAGTTGAAGTTGTTGAAATTGTATCTAAAAATTGTTTGTTTAGATTTGGTTTAACAATAAAGTTTGGCCTTCGTTACCGATTTATTATAATGCGATTAGTAATGCGATTTTGAGAGCAGTTGCTGTTGAGAATCCGGAATTGGGTGAGTTTTTTGTAAGCTGTAACCTCTCGTAGCTGTAACCTCTCGTAGCTCGTAACCAAATCTCTTTTTTAGCTAACAAGATTGACAATTTGGGCATCGTTACATTCAATCATCCGATGAATCGAACAGCTGAGGACTCGTTTGACGCTGTACAAGTGTAAGTGTTTAAACTAAAAGTAGCAAACAACTTGGGTAATTAAACCGGATGAAATATTAGTTTGTTTAAAAAGTTAAAAGTGAACGAAGCCTTTGGTGGGGGCTCATTGTTGTATCTTTAAGCGAAATCGATTCGTTTTTAATGGAGAATTTGACTTTTCATTTCATTTTAAGCATTCCTTTTTTATCACAAAACACTTCTAAGAGTAAAGTTTTCAATCTGACCCATACTTCACTCACAATTATGATAGTATTACTTTATGTATAGTATTCTAGCAAGTAGCATTCCAGCATTCCAGCAACACACATAGTACTTTACTATCAACGAATTTCCAGACTTGCTCTTTCACTTTTTCGAGTCGTTTTGATCATTTTCACTTTCTGCATCATCCCAGCCGGTTTTGCCTCGTTTCTCGTCACGGATCGGTAAAATTCTCTTAGACTATTCAACAATTAAACAAATCTGATTTTCCAGTGAAACCCACAGTATGCATCTACAACTTGTTTCCGGTTTGAAGAGAAAAATGTATTGGCTAATCGAGTACATATTTGATTTTGTGAGTTTGTTGAGTTATTAGAGTTATTAGAGTTATTAGAGTTATTAGAGTTATTAGAGTTATTAGAGTTATTAGAGTTATTAGAGTTATTAGAGTTAGTTGAGTGTGTTCCACGTAATTAATTCCCCTTTGTAAAGTGTGCACTTAAAAAAAAAACGCTATCATAGTTATGGGAATTTCTTTAAATGCAAATTTAAAGCTACAACTACAATACTGGACAATGAAATATCATATTTGAAAACTGATCGTCACTTTCGCACGCGCTGAAATGCGTCAAAAAAATACGGTGTTTCTAAATATTAATACTACCATTGTGTAGCCCTTGAAAAAAGCTTTCAGAAAATGTATAACACTAATAGTTTAAAGTCAAAGACAAAGAAGTTACAGACGTGCGAACGTGACGATCGTTTTTCAAATATGATATTTCATTGTCCAGTACTGTATCTGTCTGTTTCGGCTGTCTGTCTGTCTGTCTGTTTTGCTGTTTTAGAAAGAAACGGCCCAATCAATTGGTCTGAAAATTTGACTATTAAAGCTAAAATTTTATGGGAAAAATTGAACTTCACAGTTTGATCGATTCCAACGATTTTGATCGATTTGAAATTGATTTTAAATTGATTCTAAATCGATTTTGATTTCAACGAAATCTGGTTTTTATGTTTTCCCTCATGCCAGAATACACAAAAAAAAACATAAAATTATCAGGGGAAACGTTTTTAGAGAAAGAAAAATGAAGAAAAAAAAACCGTTACAGCGTAAAGTGCAGTTATAATAAAATCAGATAAAATCAATCAAAATCAAATAAAATAAAATAAAATCGGGGGTGGGACAAATGCGACCTTTTTTTTTGCGCACCTGGACATTTGCGCACCTTTTTTTTTGCTGGAAAAGGCCTTAGGAAAGGTCGTAGAGCTTCGAAAATGTTTTCATATAAGGGAATCGTATGCGTAGATTCCGAATTTCGACAAATCAGACCTCGCTGACACGTCAAATTTGGGCTAAAAGGCAAAAACTACGCAACTTAACGCTTTTCCGCAGTTTTTGCCTTTTAGCCCAAATTTGACGCGTCAGCGAGGTTTGATTTGTCGAAATTCGGAATCTACGCATACGATTCCCTTCTATGAAAACATTTTCGAAGCTCTACGACCTTGCCTAAGGCCTTTTCCAGCAAAAAAGGTAGCATTTGTCCTACTCCCATAAAATCAATCAAATCAAATCAAAACAAATCAAAACAAATAATAATACAATGTAAATTTGTTTAATTAATTATTTAATCACAAGAAGCACACTTTCATTAGAATTGTGAATCGATATCATTAGAGATGTGAATCAGGGGATTTCTTTTCAGTCGATTGTCATCCTTGCCTCATTCCTCATCTTGATCATGTATCGATGTATCGGCGTCCTTGAAGTCACCTATAACTTTGCCACCGCTATGTCCTTCTTTACTCTCTTTTTCGTTTATGGGTGAGTTGAACGTTGAACTTCAAAATTCTTTCACTCTGTCAAAATCTTTCAATCTGTCAAAACATTTCAATCCTTCAAATTCTAGAATGGGCGCTCTCTTGTTCGTGTTTGTCCTTCAGCGCTTCTTCACCATTCCCTCACTCGCTTTCATTCTCATCTCAATCGGTCTCTTCTTCATCGGCGTTGTCACTTCGATGGTTGTGATGGTTTTAGAGCAATTGATGAAAACGGTGAGTGTTGGGGAGAGCATAGAAAGCCTAGAAGCATAGAAAGCCTTGTCAGCCTTATCAGCCTTATCAGCCTTGTCAGCCTTATCAGCCTTGTCAGCCTTATCAGCCTTGTCAGCCTTATCAGCCTTATCAGCCTTGTCAGCCATGTCAATCATGTCAGCCATGTCAGCCCTAGCCTACTCTTACTATTGAGCTGACAGGCTTTAGGGATTACTGTAGCTTGGCGCGCAAACATAAAAACATAGGATGAACATAAAAAGACGTAAAAACATAGGATGAAACCCTTGAAAACGCGTACAATGTGTGCTCCGTTGTCTTCATGATTCTCAGTCCACAATTCAACCTTGGAATGGGTGTTTATCGGTAAGTCAATACACTGTAACTTAGACATAACGAAAAAAAATCTGTCGATCTTTTTGCCTTTAGTTTTTTTGTGTTTTTCTTAGCAACAATCCTTCTATTTGCATTATTTTAACTATGATTCGATGCAGAATAAAATTGCGCGTCGAATGATACCAAGATCAACTCAAAATGCGATTTCCATGCAAAGTTATTGACTAAAAACCTAAACCCCGTCGATTGTGGGTGGAGCTTAACCTTTTGCCCCATAACTTTGCATGGAAATCGCATTTTGAGTTGATTTTGGTATCATTCGACGCGCAATTTTATTCTGCATCGAATCATAGTTAAAATAATGCAATTAGAAGGATTGGTGCTAAGAAAAACACAAAAAAACTAAAGGCAAAAAGATCGACAGAAAGATAGACAGACAGACGTTTTTGCTACAAGCTTACTGTAACTTACTGTAACCTTTTATCAATCGCCTCATTTTAGTGGCTCCTTTGTCTATCAAGTCTTCCATTTCGCCGAGATGATGCTTGGTAAGAGATTTGAAAATTTAAAAACCATATCACCACAAAACAATTTTCTTTCTTTAGAGTTAACCCGAGCGGAAAGTGAGTTATAAAAAGTCCTTGAAAGCGACGAAAATTTCAATTCTTAACTACTTCTTTCTTTCGGAAAAAATATCAGTTTTCTCTCATCTTTTCGTAAAGTTTACCTTCAGCTCACGAGTAGTTTTTTTTTTGCGTTGCTTTTTTACGAGAGTCTTTTTTGTCTTGTCCCTCTTATTAGGGAACTGTTTTAACTGGGCGTTGAGTTGGGAAATGATCTTAGAACGGGAAATGAACTCCAACCATCCATCCATAAGAGTCCATTGATCCATCCATCCATAAGAGTTTCGAAATTTTAAGAGACAAATCTTTTTGAAGAAACCGCCGCGGTATAGCACCAAATTACCACCCCTCAAAACCCACCTGAATGGCGCAGGGGATAGTGTGCTTGCACCTCGCGCAATTCCGGTCCCGTCCTCACTCTGGTTCGATTCCCCTCACTGTCAAATTTTTGAAAATCTCAATTTGACACTAAGGGGAATCGAACCAGGGTGAGGAGGGGGGCCCGCTATCTCGCGAGGTGCAAGCACACTATCCTCTACACCATCCGCTTGCTTCTCTCTCGAGAGTAATTAGGCCCTATACCTCAGCGGTTTTTTCAAAAAGTCCCAAACTTCAAAAGTGTTTTTCTCGGAAATTTTGCATTGGTTTAATAAAATTGAAAAACATGTGTCTCTTAAAATTTTGAGACGATGCTTTTCAGATCAGATCAGATCAGATGGAGATCGTTTTTTAGTTCGATCGCGATAGCGGCCCCCTCCTCACCCTGGTTCGATTCCCCTTAGTCTCATTTCCTAACTCAATATCGAGTTGAAACAGTTCTCTACTTAGTAGAGCTGAGTGTGTTCCACGCAATCGTTTTCCAAAATGTCAATTTTTGAAAGCAATCTTGTCAATATGCAAGATGACAGTAGGCTTTCAAAAAGTGGCCACGTTTTAGGAAACGGATTACTTTCAGGGACACATTCTAGCTGTTCACATGAGCTAACATTTGAAATTTAGACGGATTGAACCGGAAAGATATGATTGATGAGATCCCGGTTCCACCAATTCTCTCATATGATATTATGGGACGACATGTCATGGCATTGGCTGTAAGTTTTGATTTAAAGAAGGTCATATAGCCTTGAGAAACAGAGCTTAAAGAAGGTCAAATAGCCTTGAGAGCAAACTTGCTACTGTAGCTGTAGCTGGCTGTAGATGTAGCTTACTGTAGCTATACGCTCTAGCTTACTGTAGCTGCAAATGCAAGCTTCCATCATCTTATCAATCTATCAATCTATCAATCTATCAATCTATCAATCTTCGACTTTTAGTTCCAATTCATCGTCTTGCTCGTGATCTTCATATTGGCTGAGAATGGACGTTTTGGTGTCTTTCGGTAATCAGAAAAAGAGACTTTATTTAACGTTATCTTTTAGACGAATCGAGCGTTTGAGAACTGGATTCGCGCTTGAGAAATCGCGAACAGAGGAGGATAATGATGTGGTCAGAGAAAGGGATCGGGTGAGACAATTCTTCAATAGTTCTATTATAGTTTCCTTTTAATTTTGCGCTAATGTTGACCTATAGGGGGCTGTAGGACCTCCAGGGGGCTGTAGGACCTACAGGGGGCTGTAGGACCTCCAGGGTAGGACCTATAGGGTACTGTAGGACCTACAGAGTGCTGTAGGACTTACAGGGTACTGTAAGACCTACAGGGTAGGACCTCCAGGGTAGTGTAGGACCTACAGAGTACTGAAAGACCTACAGAGTGCTGTAGGACCTACAGTACCTACCTACAGGTCCTACATTAAGGAATCGTAAAGAAAGATTTCCGGATTTCTGGAGAGGGATTGAACCCTCGACCCTTCTGCTTTGCTCTACCTTTGCTCTTGCCAGGCAAATGCCCTAACCCATCCATTTAAACAGCTAAATAGCTCAATAGCTATCCGATAGCTATCTTTTTTCCAGAGAAAAAAGGAAATACAAGGGAAATGAGGAAGAAAGAGAGCTTAAATCAAAGCAAAGAGTGCTTAAATCAAAGCCATTCTCAGGTCCGTTTCATTCGAGAGAAAAATGAGGATCGAGAACATGCGGGACTGGTTGTACACGATCTGGCAAAAGTTTGAGAAATTGAATTACTGTAAGGTCATGATTTTCAGATGTACGGCTCACATTTAGCTGTAAAAGGCGTTTCGTTTGCTGTAGCGCCTGGGGAATGCTTTGGTGAGTTTTTATGGATTAAAGTTCTTTAAGGTTCTTTAAGAGAGAGGTCTTCTTGGTTTTAGGTCTTCTTGGTTTAAATGGAGCTGGTAAAACAACGACTTTCGCGATGTTGACTGGGAAACATCCGATTGGACAAGGAGAAGTCGAAGTGGTTGGATCACAGTGAGTTTTTCGTTATGATTAGGGCAAAGAAAAGGCTATGCTAGCTCTATTAGACTATGCCGAAGTCAATTCGAACCAAATCTAACCACAGGCTCAGACTCAGCATCACAAGGGAAAGGCATTGCTGGAAAGGCATTTAATTAACATTTATGATAATGATGACAATGATGACAATGATGAAAACGATCAGTGCCTTTCCCTTGTTAGTTTAGAATCAAACTATTAACCAAAGCAGCCTAGAAGACCAGCCTAGAAGATGGCTAGACGATAAGCCTAGCCAACTGCTCCTTAAGTCAGTTTAACAAATCCTTGCTTTCTAGAGTCGTTCATTGTGCTTCCGAAGGCTTCCGCCATCTTGGCTATTGTCCACAATTTGATGCTCTTCATATGAAGCTCACCACACAAGAACAATTGACGTTTTATGCTCGAATTCGAGGCGTTCCCGAGCATAAGATACAACAAGTGAGAGCTTGAGAAGGAGAGTTTGAGAAGGAGATCTTGAGGAGGAGAGCTTGAGAAGGAGATCTTGAGAAGGAGAGATTGAGAAGGAGAGATTGAGAAGGAGAGATTTGAGAAGGATATTTCATAGGTTCTTTCATGTTTATTCTATTTTATAGGTTGTGAAATCCCTTCTTTTCTCTCTTCATCTCCGTCCTTATGCAAATGTTTTAACATCGGATTTATCTGGTGGAAACAAGAGGAAATTGTCGGTTGCGGTGGCTCTTGTTAGTCAACCGCCAGTCATTCTTTTGGTGAGGGGTTTTGAAGAAATCTATTGTTGAATAAGAATTTTTAGGATGAACCCTCAGCTGGCATGGATCCAGGATCACAGCAATTCTTGTGGACAGTTGTGACTCGATTGAGAAAAGCAGGAAGAGCTGTTGTGCTCACATCGCATTCGATGGAGGAATGCGAGGTGTGTTTTTTTAGAATAAATCAACAAACATCAACATCAACAATAAAAAATTCAACAAATCAACAAAACAACTAATCAGAGCTGATCAGAGCCTAAATAGCTTCTGTTTTTGTACACCTCTAGTCAGAAAACACACAACACAACAACAAAACCAGTAAGAAACAAAGCTTCGTAAACTTTTGATTTCCGGACGAGCAAAACTTTTTAAAAATACGAGCCTTCCTCTAATACTTATATACATTTAGGCTCTTTGCACAAGGATCGCTATAATGGATGATGGTCGAATTCGATGCATTGGATCAAAGCAACATTTGAAGACAAAGTTCGGCGAGGGATATACGTTGACATTGAAGACACCGGACTCGAAGAGTGCCAACGAGGCGGCTGCTTTACTCGTCGAGGGGATCCAAGGGGCAAAGGTGAGCAAGGGGCTGTAGTACGATAGCATACTGTGCATAGGACGATAGTACTGTGCATAGGACGATAGTACTGCCCATGGGACGATAGTACTGTCCATAGGACGATAGTACTGTTCATAGGACGATAGTACTGTTCATAGGACGATAGTACTGTCCATAGTACGATAGTACTGTACATAGTGCATTGTGTACAGTAGATAGGGTACTTCAAAAGGCTTAGTCATAGCTTCAAGCTGAACCTAAGTCATCGAATGGCATGGCTTGACTTCTACAATACGATCTGCCGTATACTGTAGATCATTATGTATACAGTCGATCTATTGTATAAATAATGCTCTTTAAACCTTTAATCATTCTATTTACCGTCTTCTAAATTCAACATTTTCTGAAAACAGTGTCTCTGGTTGAATGGCTGAAAAAAAAAAAAAAATAGAAGCCATCGTTTTTGTGTAGTTGAGGATGAAAGGAAAAGGGAAAAAAAAGGGGAGAGTCACTTAGGCCAAAGTGCAAACAGTATTAAGGCATGGGAAAATGAAAAGGAAAGAGGGGAAAGCTGAAGAACTTTTCAATTCCTTCAATTCTTTTCAATTCTTTCAATTCTTTTCAATTCTTTCAATTCCAATTTCACTTACACAGCTTTCCCTCTCACTAACGACAAATTGGTTCTATTTTGACTGAAACTTATTACCTTTTTTAGTTCTTATTTCTTTTCCTAACTCTCTTGGGTAATCTAAACAAAATAGAACAAAAGAAACAAAAAAAACTTTAAAATTACCAAACGATTGTTATCAATTGTTACCAAAGATTGGTCTGAATCTATTTTTAAAATCGAAATTAGTCTTGTTAAAGTCTTACTTACAATTTCTTTTATTCAAAACAGTCAAAAAAAAGACTCCAGCATTGCAGAGGGGTCGAACCAAGAACCCCCGTCTTTGATCCCAGACTGATACAGCGCTTTAGACGCTTTAGACGCTTTAGACGCTTTAGACGCTTTAGACGCTTTAGACGCTTTAGACGCTTTAGACGCTTTAGACGCTTCAGACGCTTTAGACGCTTTAGACGCTTCAGACGCTTTAGACGCTTTAGACGCTTTAGCCGCTTCAGACCACTCGGCCACGCTCATAAGGGAGAAGAACCTTAAAATTTTGAAAAATTAACTTCGCAAACAATTAGCAAATCCAAAAAAGGAATAGAGAAAAGTACAAAGGCGGAGTCGAACCTGAGAGGTCTTGCTTTGTATTCTAGGTGACTTCCACTCGGCCACCACAGCAGCTTTCTAGCCCCTCGAGAATCTGCTTATGAAATTGATTTTTGAAATCCCATACAAAACTTTACATGCTTATAACTTTTGACAGAGTGCCCCTTTGCATAAACGGAAAGCAGATTCGGATTCAGCGTGAAATTCTACGTTCATAGGTTTATGGCTCTTATCATTTGGCAGTTGACTTTCCTTTTTAAGTAGATTAGAAGCGCATGGTGCTTCTTTAAGGAGACAAAATCTCGATGAATAGATGAACCGGAGGTGCTTAGCTGAACAGAGTACATTAGGAAACGAATTACAGTAACTTAACTGTCTATATTACCCCTCTACTCAGGTCAGGAGGAAAAGTTGTACTAGAAATTGAATTTTTAACTTTTTGACCATGAATTTAGTGTTAAAAGAAAGAGAATTTAAAGAATTTTACACTCAGGTCCCTGTTTTGATTCCAGATCGAATTCTAATTCAATTCTGATCGAATTCTGATCTAATTCTGATCTAATTCTGATCTAATTCTGCTCCAATTCTGATTCAATTCCAGATTACCGCCATCCATTGTTCCACAGTTTACGCTCATATCCCTGACGGAACAGCCACAGTCGCCGAGTTGCTCCATCACGTCAATAGGGTAATTTAAAGAAAAAAAAAATTCAGTACCTTTAATCATTTTTAAAGGTGAAAAGCGTGATACCGGTCGAGGATTTCGCTCTTTCCCAAACGACTCTCGACGATATTTTCCATTCGCTTTCTGCTTCATCACCGGTTGCTAGATCGAGAGAATACTCGGAAGGAAGACCCCAACAAAGTGAACAAAGTGAACAAATCGATCATCTTGAGATTCCTGAGACTCTAGACGAGACAGCGAGTAGTCGGGTGGGTTTTAGGTGAACTTGAGACTTGAATTCGAAACCGAAATCTAGATAAAACGAGTTTGATTAGGCATTTGATTGATTTTACATTGATTGATTGATGGAATTGGTTTCACAAAACTAATATTATGATTTACAGAAAGTAGAGGAAATCCCACTAGAAGGGCTGAAAAAAAAAAATGAAAATTGTCTATTTAGTTTTCGAGATTTTCAAGATCAAAAATTGAAAAACTCAAAAAAAAGTGAAAATGGCCAACTTCAAACGAGAGGAAAGAGCCTCTTGAGATGAAAGGGCGCAAAAAAATTCAGGGTTGGGGCTTTAAAACGTGGTAAAACTACCGTACCCCTCCAATTTGCGCGAAATTTCATTTTTTTCATTCTTGTTTATTTCATTTTATTCTTTTTGCATTTTTCTGATGTGATCGCGTTTGTTTTTGCAGGAAACAAAGAGGATAAAGCTAAGTTACGTTTTTAACAGCATTTTCTGTGGCGGAAGCTTTGTTTGTAGAGTTCTTTTAGACTCACTTGCTTCCTGACGATCTGCTCCACAAACTTGATGCCAACTAATGTTAATTTAAGTGGTTTTTATCATTTTTATGTTAAGTTAAGTGGTTTTTATCATTTTTTTTATCGTGATTTAAGTGGTTTTTATCATTTTTTTTATCGTGATTTAAGTGGTTTTTATCATTTTCTATGTTAAGTGAAGTGGTTTTTATCATTTTCTATGGCGGAAGCTTTGTTTTTGTGACTTTTTAGTTGAAAAAACGTTGAAATGTTGAAAAAAACGCAAAAAGAATAAAATGAAATGAACAAGAATGAAAAAAAAGTTTTTTCAACTAAAAAGTCACAAAAACAAAGCTCTAAGAAGCTAATATTAACCAATTTCTATTCCAAAAGTTGTTTTTCTAGGTAATTTTAGGGCGAAGAATCGAAATTTTGACATAACAGAGCGTGTGGAACCAATTTGAAAGACAAAACGGCTAGATCAAATTACAGAAAATTGTCGATTTTTCTCTTTGTATAACTCCGTCCGTTTGCTTCCACAAGCTCTGATATGTCAAAATTTGGATTCTACGCCCTAAAATTACCTAGAAAAACAACTTTTGGAATAGAAATTGGTTAATATTAGCTTTTTAGAGCTTTTTTAAAACGCGAAAAAAGGTGCGCTAATGGGCCGGATGCGCAAAAAAAAGATCGCATTTGTCCTATTCCCCAAGAATGAAAAAAAAATGAAATTTTGCACTAATTGGAGGGGTACGGTAGTTTTACCACGCTTTAAAGCGCCAACCCTGAATTTTCTCGGAAAGAGGTGCTCATAACTGAAAACTTGGGTAATTTATATCGAAATCTAATAGGTTTTTAAAATTTTCAAATCCAGATCCGAGTATTGCACAATTTATATATCATACAATCCGAAATCGGATTAGAAGCACTCGCCAAATTAATTGATAAACGATCGGCGCCAAGGCTAGCTTGCTGTTTGATGAAATTGATCAAAACTTTGAAGGGTTATCTCAAAAACGGCTTATGATATGTAGGATTTGAAGTTTCGGAATATCTTTAACCATTTGAAAACATATTTCACCTTGGAGTCAGATAGCTCCCGAAATCTAACTACAAGGGATTCCCTAGTTGGAAATTTGGAAATAGACTTGGTTTTTTGGTCAAGTTAGTGCAAAATGGGGTAATAAAGACGGCTAAGCTACTCTGATTCGTTTCCTAATGTACTCTGTTCAGCTAAGCACTTCCGGCTCATCTATTGGTCGAGATTTTGTCCCATCCGATCCAGCTCCATCAACAGAAGATCAAAAATAACTTTTTCTCAAAAAAAACGTGTCTTCAACTACGTGTATTGGTGAGTTGAAGTTTAAAATTAGCAAAAATAATCATAAGTTTTTAGTTTTCATACTTTGATCGCATTATTTCGTTACGTGTAAATGTGTTGGGATTTCGATGACGATTTGGGTCTCTCTGATCCCGATGTGGTGCCTTTTCGAGGAAAGGTTTGTTCATTTTCAAAACACATCAATAGTTATCACTAGTTATCACTAATTATCATTAATTATCACTAGTTATCATTAGTTATCACTAGTTATCATTAGTTATCATTAGTTATCACTAGTTATCATTAGTTATCATTAGTTATCATTAGTTATCATTAGTTATCACTAGTTATCACTAGTTAACGTGTTATTCTAAGTCTTGAATCGATCTCGAAGTCTAGATATCTATCTAGATTATGTAGACGTTTTATCCGAGCAATTCATGTCGAATAAAATGGTTCTGATCGATTTTGGATCCAGTTTGATGCAAGATTTGATTAGATAACATGTCTACAGCCTAGAGATAACATATCTACTGCCTAAGCCTAAGCCTAAGCCTCTAGACCCTTGTAGTCGTCCATTCTTAAACCCCAACCAAAGCAATAATTTCAACAAACCAATATTTATCCAGGAACTCTGCTATCTCGCTCTCTTCTTCTCGGGTGCCGTCCTTCTCTTGGTGATCATGTACGAGGTTTTGATGCCAGTCTTCAATAATCCCACTTATCCTTTCTACAATCATGTCCTCGATTATTCCTATCATCCATCAGTTAAAGGAGAGCTTGTCGCCCCAAGGCATCCACGCGATCTTTTTCATTCGTCATTTTCCTCTTCTGCGGGTAACCAATCACTTTAAACATTGAAATTTTAACATAGATCATTATAGACAATTTTAAGAAATATTTTGTCAAAAAAATTTTGATCTAATTGATAAATTTTAGCTAAAAAAACAAATTACAAACAAACAGCCAAAAAAAAATAAATTTACAATCCAAGTACTACATAGATTTGTTTCCCCAAAAACAAGAAATTCCAAAGCAATAATGTGATTTCCCTGTGTTCCCAATTTGCTCAGTTTTATCTTCTTTTAAAAGGTTTTTTTAAAAATTTTGACTTATTTTAACTTTATTCGCATTTTTGCATAGTAATTTTTGTATTGATAACTGACTGAATTCCCTGAATAATCCTGAATAGAAACGCTAGTTTTAATTGCGATGTTAGAGATTTCTAAATCATGTCTATTTCTTTTGAAAGCTACCCCATCTTTTATCCAATCCATAATTTTTCATGAATGTCTTGTGATTCTTCTTTTATCCATCACTTTATTTTCCCCAAAAAAAAGCCAAATCTTTTTCCCCCAGTGTGCCTCATTTATTCCGGATTCTTTATATTCTTATTTTATTTTTTTTATCGTTCTTTATCTTTCTTTTTTTAGAGCTTTTCTTTTATGAGACTTTTATTTACATTCCCTGCTTTCATTGTTTAATTTTGATTATTTAAAGTGCCAAAACATTTAGAAGGGTACTCTTTAATATGAGATGAATTGAGAGAATAAATGTATTCGAGTTTTTTTGTTCTTCAAATCTAGCATTTTTCAGTTTGCAAGTAAACTACATAGCAAAATTTGTTAGATCTAGCGCTTTTTGCAAATCGGATTTATAGTTTTACGGTTTATTAGTACAGAACGAAAAAAGCAACGATACCCATTACAAAAACAGAAATATCAAATCCCGAAAAAACGAAAGAAATTAAAGAATTGGGAAAGCATTTATTAGGGGACTACGTAAGTTTGAAGGCAAAATTTTATTCCCAAATAACTTTTTTGTTTCACCATGAATCGCTTTGATTCTTTCAAATAGTCATTCTATGTGTCTAGTGTTAAAAAAGAAACTTGCTGGCTGGTGAAGCTGCAGAGAGCGACTTTTTGGAAATTGGGGAGCTCAAAAATATGAAGTTGGGATCAAAAGCAACCCTTTCCGTAAAAAGCGATTTTACAAAAAATGATCAAGCGAGAAACCTATTATTTATTTCTTTTATTTAAAAATGACTATAAAAAAGATCAAAGCGATCAATGGTGAAACAAAAGTTATTTGGGAATGTCTCGAGACTTATGTAGTGACCTGATAGTACACAATTTTACCTTGGCTTCCCAGCTTGCAAACCGTCGATGTGGACGTCTTCCATCAAGAGTTTGCATCGAAATGATTCTCGTGCTTGCATTCCTCATTCTCGCAATTAACGATAAACTCGTGCCCATCAACGGTCAACATGCCCACAAGGTTCTTCGACATGACTCTAAATACAATAATAAGTAAGTAAGTATACAATAAGTAAAATGGTATAAAGTAAGGGATTTTCGGCAAATAAAATGTTATAAGGTAAAATAAGGACTTTTCGTACGTGATTCGAAGACAATAGAGTAGAAGAGAGCCGAGAGAAACGAAACAGAAAGATTTTCGAAATTTAAACAGGAAACATGGGCATAACAATATAAAAAGGAGGGAACGACCGAAAGCCGAGGGAGTACTTTAGCAACGCGCTGGAAGAACATAATAGATTTTACGAGGGGAAGAAAGCTTCACGGGAATCGGCATAAAAGCCTAATAACACCCACAATTCCATCATGAAATGCCAAAAAATGAAAAGAATGGCAAAAAGCAAATTACAAAAACAGCGTGCGCTTGAAAAGAAACATCAAATCCCGAAAAACTATGCAATCCTGAAAAATGAAAAGAATGGCAAAAAGGAGTTTTTGCGCGGGGCACGGTGCATATCCATGCTTTAGAAATCGCGTCGCATCGCTTTCGCGTCAGTTGCTTAAAACCGCACGTAAATAGGAACCTAGCGAAGCCAGCCACAAACAAAAGTTTTCTCAAAATTCGGGGGTGGGACAAACGCGACCTTTTTTTTGCGCACCTGGACATTTGCGCACCTTTTTTTTGCTGGAAAAGGCCTTAGGCAAGGCCGTAGAGCTTCGAAAATGTTTCCAAACAACGGAATCGTATGCGTAGATTCCGAATTTTGACAAATCAGACCTCGCTGACACGTCAAATTTGAGCTAAAAGGCAAAAACTACGCAACTTAACGCTTTTCCGGAGTTTTTGCCTTTTAGCCCAAATTTGACGTGTCAGCGAGGTCTGATTTGTCAAAATTCTGAATCTACGCATACGATTCCCCTCAATGAAAACGTTTTTGAAGCTCTACGACTTTTCCTAAGGCCTTTTCCAGCAAAAAAAAAGGTGCGCAAATGTCCAGGTGCGCAAAAAAAGGTCGCATTTGTCCCACCCCCGTCAGTTACTTAAAACCGCACGTAAATAGGAACCTAGCGAAGCCACAAACACAAGTTTTCTCAAAAAATCAGAAAGAAATTTGGGGAAAAGAAAGAGACAAAAATGCGACGAAAATAGGAACGTAATTTGGAAGAACGGCATGGTATAAAGCCAGTGGCGTAAATCGTAAAGCAATTCATTTTCTCATACCATGTCACCCCAATTGTTAGTCTGTAAAGTAATCATACTAGGGAATGTTGGGAATGTTAATTCTCTATCTTTATTGTTTCCTATAAAGCCTAAACTGTCCCTGTTTTCCCGTCCCAAGAGACCCAAAAAGCTTGTATGCCAAATATCTCGTGATAGAGAAGCGTTTGGCAAAAACTGATTGCAGATTCGGAATCAGCGCGAAAAACTGCATCAGATAGGCTATTTCGCGAGTCAAAAACCACGATAAGTTAACAATATTCCCTAGTTAAATCATTCTACATTGTTTTCTGTTCTCTCCCTTTCATTGTTTTTCATTTATTGGTTTAATTACCCAAGTTTAAGTTTCGATAAACGATGCAGCTTTCAACTGCTTGCCACATTTGATTCAAGCCAGATATCGCCTTATGATATGACGCCTTATGACGCATACAATATTTTCTCGCCGCATCTTTAGACCTCTTCTGATCTTCTGATCTTTAGACCATTATCCAGGCTAGTCTAGTCCATGACTTTAGTCCTACCAGGCCTAGAACACCAACAAAGCTCAACAAAGCTCTTGCACACCAACAAAGCTCATTTCTAGCAAATAAGATTGTTTCCAAGGCTTGGAAGCAAAAAAAGCTATCAAATTCACCGTGAACCCATTAAAACTTCAGTCGATCTCCTAAAAACAGCCCTCAAGCCCCTAAAAACAGTAGCACCAACTACAGGAGTCTAAAAAGCTGAAGTGTTGACTTGGTATTTGGTAGACATTTGCGTATTTTCGATCTCTGTTTGTGTGCAATGTCTCCCCTTCCCTTTTCCCCTAAAAAGTGTTTCCCCGGATTGCAAATAGAGAAATCTTAGCTATGAACACACCAAATGACGGAAAAGTAAATAAATCCATTTTTTTTTCTTTTGAATACTTAAATATTTTGCACCAGAATGGTAGCGGAGGAAAGGCGATATTTTATTTGGATCTTCCTCTCAATGACATCATTTTTCATTACGAGAAAGTTCAAAAATTAAAGAAAATCGAAAAATTGCGAGATTTTCGAGAGATCTGCAAAATTTGGGGAAATTTTCGCAATATTGAGCGTTTTGTTTTCCTGATTTTGTTTACTGACATTTGCTGACGTTTTGCTGTTTTCAATATTAGGCTTTTAAATTTTTCTAGAAGATATTCTAGATATTCTAGAAGAGCTTTTGCAAATGTCAGATGCCATGTCAGATCTTGATCTGGTTGAAAAATGGTCCCATAATTGGAAACTAGCTTTAGCGTCTACGAAATCCCATCATTTCTCCACGGGAAATGCTATTTTCCCTCGTAGAAATGAATTCTACATTAAACAAAATTGAAAAAGAAGATTTAGATCAGAGATCTTGAATCTTGAAGTCTCCATGAAGAAGAGTCTCTTCAAGAATATTTCCCCACCTTTAAATTTCTCAAAAAAACATTGAAATTATTTGCCGTAAAGCTTCTTTCGTCTCTAGTCGTATCCTAAAAGCAATTTGTTATCCGAAAATTGACACTTATACAGTCATGGACAAAAGCCTTTACCCCTACCGAGGTCAGCTTTTAAAACGCAAAATTTTTCAACTTTTTAACAAGTTTTAAAAATTGTTTTCAAAGTATTTTGTAGCATTTTTACTCTAGTTTTTATATCCCATAACCAAAAGAAACAACGATTTATTTTAGGCAACAAAGAACGACGTTAACAAAAAAAAACCCTCAAAACAGGTGGACAAAAGTCTTTACCCCTTTTCAACTTTTTATTTTCTTGCTGTTGTTTCATTATTTTTCACATAACAATGCTTTATTATTTTTTAATTCTAGTGATGCCTGGAGCCTATCTGACCACTCCCGACAAAGAAAAGATTATGGAAGCAAGGAAACGAGGCGACAAAGTAAAGGATGTTGCGAGCGTATTCAAATGCAGCCTCGAAACGGTGAAAAAGCTTTGCAAGAAAGAAAAAACGACTGGAATTCTTCACCGAGCATTCAAAACAGGTCGTTCACCCGTCACAACACCAAGAAAAGACAAGGTTCTAATTTTGGCCCACAAAAAGGATCCAAATCTTAATGCTTCCGATGGAGTCAGATTAATCAAGCATCAATTTAACAAGGACATCAATCGAAAGACAGTAAGCAGACGTTTGATTCATACAGGATTGATGACTAGAAGACCTGCCAAGAAGCCCCTGATGGTCGCCCAACACCGGAAGATTCGACTCGACTCGACTAAAATATGTGTTATATCTCAAAAAATCACCCAGCTTCTCTACTTTAATTTGATACTCAAGTGCGCAGAAACAAACGTACTGGTGTCGAGATATGAGCATTCGTTTGAGTGTAAACTTAGACTACACGACGCTCCTATAGGGGTGTCTTCTG